GGGGGTACTCCCCTATATTCGCTATACGGGTGCGTGCTACCAAACAGGGTATGGTTTTCAGCGATTCTACTCTGGAACAGGGTATATAAAATCGCGCTTGCTCTGGGACAGGGTATATGAAATCACGCTCTCTCCTCTCTGGAACAGGGTATCTATTTTCACACTACCGGAAAAGGTTATGGTTTTCAGTGATCTTGCTCTGGAACAGGGTATGAATTACTCTGGAACAGGGTCAGGGCTCAGAGGGCCCAGCGGCACATCCCTACCCTAAACGGGCAAGAGTCCCCCCCCCCCCCCCCCCCCCGGGTTAGTTGACAGTTATACATCCAACACAAGTAGTAAGAACACAGTAAAGTAACAAAGACTCACCAAAGATCAGAATTATAATCATAAGGTCTTTCTTGGACAAGCTCTGGGGACATGTATAGTGGAGTACCCTGTGTGGAGCAAGAGAATAATATTTGTAGACATTACATACATGTGTGTGTTATAGGTATGCCAGCATCATTTCTCAGGTTTAGATGAATGGTTTCATATTATGTAACACCCTAGAGCTACCCTAACAAACCACCCACTTATCTCGTTATTCTCTTCACGCTGGTGGAATGGAATAGAATCATAGAATCTCTCCTCTGCAAAAACATATTTTGCATTCAACCATACACACCATAACATAATTTTGATTGTTTGAGATAATAATAACTTTAGATATTAAGTATATTTTACACTACCTTAATAGAAGTCAACACCAGAGTATTTATACTCATAGCACGAGCAAACCTGCACAAATAAATACATGTCTAAGTCAACAATTTTATTAATAATTTACAACAATATTATTTTATTGTGGTATAAAATAGAAGACCTACCCAAAATCACATAATTTTACAACACCATGTTTTCCAAGTAGAATATTTTGTGGTTTCATGTCTCTATGGAGTATTCTGTGAGAGTGTAGATAATAGAGAGCCTTGACAAGCTGACTAGCAATCTTTTGAACCTAGTAAGATATTACAAAGTAAAAAAAAATCATCATTATCATCATAACCACTATCATCACCAACATCAGGAGCAGCAGCAGCAGCAGCATCATCAATATCATCATCATCATCATATGATTATCATTATCATCATGAATTTCAATGACATCAATAATAATAATTAATAATATCAACAACATCAATATCATCTTCAACATTATTATCAATATCATCATCATCAATATCATCTTCGTTATCATCATCAATATCATCTTCGTTATCATCAATTGATATCATCACATCATCGATTTATCATCACCATCATCATAATGATCATCAATACCACTACCACTATGCAAGAGTAACCTATCCCATTGTCACAATCATCAAAGTTGGGTTGGTGTTTTCATCCACAGGTAGCCCAATCAGGACTCTTGATTGTCCTGCTCTCCAAAAACTAACCTGTTCTTCTGGTAGACATCCATCATCTTCTAAAACTTGAAACAATTCTCCCTCTGCATAATCAGTCACTACACAAACCTACATATACATAAAACACATCATGAAATACATTTACTGTCAAACATGTTCATACCCCCCGCCCCTAACCACCCTGGTTTATGTGCCTAAATCTGCTAATGCTTCTAGGCTATTCATACTATGTATATCAGGGCGTGGGAAAGAGAAGGGTTAGCAAACAATTTGCATCACATACATAAAGGAACTAGAAAGTTTGAACATGTCATATCCCTAACTGGATTCACCCAACCCCCTTCCCCCTCCCTTTTCCTTAAGCTCCCCTCTCCCTCAAAAATACTAAGACCTCATAAATGCAGTTTCATCTCACATATATTCTTTACCTCTTGGGGAGTTTCAAAGGAATCCAACAGCTTAATAATATTAGGATGTTCCAGTGATCTCATGATATCTATTTCTCTTTGCAGACTTTTGAGTTCTTTCTCTGACCTACCGACCTTGGGGATGAACTTCAGGGCTACAATCTAAACAATTTCGGGAAAATAAGCAAAACTACTGACCTGAAACTACTGTCAATCCCGGACAATCATTAACAAAATATAACAATAATGGCAGCGGTCAATATTAAAATGAAAGCGTCCCAACTTAGTAAATGATTGGAAACCCACAAATGCACATGTACAATGACAGCAAATATCAGTTGGGCAGTCAGTGAGCAGTTGATTGGGGTTCCGATTTTTGATTTTACAGTATATAAATAACTTGTACAGTATTATCATTTACCTGCCCTGAGTATTTCCGTCTTCCTTTGTACACTTTTCCAAACGATCCTTCCCCGATAAGATGAAGGACGTGGTAATTTTCCATATTCTTATCTTGTTTATCAACGTTGTTAGCAACGCTTACAGGCAACTGCAGTTTGCATCCATGCAACGACTATTTTTCTGGCGTTTTACGTCCATAAAATAAACAGTACCAAGGTAAAACTCATACGGAATCAAAAATTAAAACATCTAGGGCAGTTTCTTGAATTTAGTAGCAATCCTTTCTAGCGGAAAGTACTCAAAAAACAAAAATATGAGTTATGCTTGAGTTTCCAACTCAATTCTGCCGCCATCTTGGTTTATGTATCACGTGACAGGTTCTAGATTCGACTAGTTCCTAGTCCTTTTCAGGTTACTCGGAAATACTTAGGAACGAGGTAGAGGGGGAATGCCTTATGGTGATAACCAATTAAGCAATAGAAAACAATAGAACTAGAATGATTTAGCACTATTTTGGTTGCAAACTTTTAGTGTTTGTGCTCTTTGCAATGCATCCTGAAGGGTAAATTGGGAACTAAAAATTGCCTTTGTCATTTTGTACTGGCGAGTTGAGTTTGTTTGTTGTGTTGTTCTCTCCCATGCCATGAGGGTTTTCTCCTGGTTCTCCAGTTTCCTCTCTCTCTAAAAATCGTGAGTTGAGTGTTGTATGTCATAAAATATATAATTTTAGTGGTAGTTGAGTGAGTATGGAGCAAACCTCTAGGAAGAGCCCCGTATGGGGAGTGGTGTTTGTAAAATATAAGTTTATATAACAAAAAACATGCTGAAAAATCGATAACAAGTCAAGTTTTAATAATTAATAATTATACAACATAAAGACAACTTTAAATAAGGAATACTTGCATAAAGTTTGACATAGAAAAGAATAATACTTTGTGTCATTTCATAAATAGGTAAACAACACTCCATATACATAAAGCATAAATCACAGTAAGTTCATTATGGACCATTCATAATTTATATTGGTTGGGAAGGGCAGCATTTTTTCAAACAATACTTGAGGGAGCTATAAAATAAGATGGGTCATTGTATTTCTGAGGTTGAAAGCATAAAAGAAATAATAGTTTTGGAAAGAGGGGTTGACAAGAAATGTTTCATTTTATGACTCAGATTCTGCATATAGCTCCCTCAACCTAACTTACTCTGAGACTTACTGGCAAAAAAAAGATGTAATTTTGATTTACAAGTAATGAGAAAAATCATTAGTGCCTTTATTTATACAACCAATACAGATCATACTCTCATTAATTAGGGCTGTTTATAACATGATAAACAAAACCAACCAACTGTAATAAATGTATTGATGGATTGTGCTAGACAAGTTTGACAATGCCAGATTTCATAAGAATGGCATTTATATTGTTTATTAATTATTTGTTTTGCAGCTTTCAGTAGGGCTTTAAAAAATAGTACATTCACAAGTTAACGCACAGATTGTATGACACTTCACTGTCAAGGTTATCCCCAGTGTAATATTTATTTATGCTGCTCTTTTGTYACTATTGTGACTATAGGTTGTGCTATAGATCGTAAAGCTGGTATTGTTTTTTGGTATTGTGGTGTCAGCTGTGCTGCATGAAGTATATTACACTGAAGATGGTTAGCCAGGCTGGAATCTTATTGTAAGTTCTTTTTGTGTAAAAAAAATTAAAAAGATATTTATCTTGAGTATGCAAGGAAGAGAAGAGAGTTTTGGGCTTGTGTCAGACTGAAATTAAAGAATAAATAAAAAGTTATTAGATTATAGATTTTAATTAACAATTATTTGGCGAAGGATAAGGGAATATCAGCTAATGTTTACCGAGAAGTAGTTGAGCTAAGTATTCAACATTTTCACTGAGCTGAAACCATGTGAATGAAACCAAGTATAGGAAGCCCAGAGTCTGACCCTTGCCTGTTCTACAAATTGCTCAAGCTAAACGGAACAAAAATGTCACATGAAGTTATAGTCCAGAACTGGACCCACTTTTCGAAATATTGTGTTCATCCTTTTACCCATGCCATCCTAGTATAGTACAAAATTTCAATGCATCACATTGATTTGGAAACAAAAATAAAAGTGGGTCCAGTTCTGGACTAGAGAAGATATTTAGTACAAATAAAAAAGAAAGTATAGTTTCAATATCAATTATATCAATATTATTGATACTACATGAGTAAGCAGTTTCATTTATTTATTTTATTTTTTCAGAATTATGGAGTACCAGAGTACCACACAATTTTTTTTTAAACGTTAACAGCCTGTAAGCCTAGCAGCATAGTTGATATACCTTTCACTCAATATCTAGATGGGGGACTGCGTGATCTACTTCTTGAATATCGCCTTTGATATCTAGAATAAAATTACACATAAATACATAATTGATTAGCCAATTTTGAATAGATTTTTGTCACAATGTACATTTTTAAGTATGAAGGAAATGTGTGTGGAGACAGAAAACTCTAAAAAACTCAGAAAATTTCTAAATTCCAGATGGGAATTAAACCCACGACCTTCCATATTCTAGTCAAAAGCTGAATAAACTGTCTGTTTTTTAAAACCTCCTTTTTTACAACCGTAGCACTTAAGAGCCATAGGCTAACAAACTTGTGGTCCTCGTTCTGTTATCGAATTGGAATTTAGGAGTAGATTTTTGAGGAGGGAGAAAAACCCTCGAAGCACAGGAGAGAACCAACAAACAACTCTATTCGCATACAACACCAAACCCGGAGGGACTGGAATCCGAAGGGACTGGATCCTGGGTGGCATTGAAGAGAGGTGAGCACTCTCACGGCTACGCCACCTGTGCTTCCCGACAATGAATGTAACTTTTATAAATAAATGAATGTACCTCTTCTTGGATTATAAATTTATGATAATGCTACAAAACTATGCCACTATATACCTGTCCGTCTCAGGAGACCTATCATATCGTCTGCGTGGAGGTGACCTAAAATTTAACAAAATAATGTTCAATAGTCAATACATTTACAGTTTCTACATTAAAACACAAACTTGAAAAATGTTAATATAAGCTAATTGTGATAACATTTTTTACAGTTCATGCTAACAGTAAACTGGCTGAAACATTAAAAATAATGAAAATGACAGCACAGTCTTAATAATAAAAAGTCTTAAACAATTCTATAATGTGAATAACACGGGCCTTTTGTATTTCCGATAGATGATTTCCAAGACGATTTTCATGAGCACTTTCATAAATATCTCAGGTACAGACATAAAAATGAGGCATTTTTGGGCAGTGTCCTTGAGAAATCTTTGGAAACCATAGAGTTACAGTATAGGCAATTTCTAAAACCCTTTAAGAAAAGATTTGCTTGAAGTCCAGCTATATTTTTTTCAAAAAGTTATAATCCTGCTTGTGAACTAAAAGAAACCTTATTATTATTCTTTCATTAACATAATCTTAAAGTTTTGTAATGTGTTTTCCATAGCACATGCTTCATTCTCTAATCTGAGTATGCGATATTTTTGAAAGCGCTCAGACATCTCGGAAAAGATCTACTGATACAGTTACTATGGAAATCTCTTTCACAAATGGCATATGGCAATATGCCTTCCAGCACTGTTTGTGAATTTTCGAACAATAATATATTATAATATAGCATCATCTTAAACATTCTTTATAACAGTCTAAAATAATTACCATCATTGTGATATCATACAAAGACTATAAAAATAGTATATTGTTCACAAGGTCATAAACTGGGTAGAATGAAAACTGTCCCTCATCAGGAGCTTGGTAAAATTGTGAGCAGGGGTCGATGTTTGCAGTTGATCAAAGGTGGCTCGAAGAAACCTTTCTTGTTGGTTAGTCAATCGAAGGGCAAAACTAGGATGATCAGTGTAAGTTAGAAGTAGTTGGGCCAAACTGAAAGGATGAATGATGCTCGTCAATATCTTGGTTGCACAAAGATTGAAACCATTCTTCATGCTTTTGTAGCTAAGACACGCATCTATGATGATGGTGGAGTGGTAACTCAAATGTCTATGCAGTGATGCAGCGGTCGATGATCATGATCATTTTGTAATAACAAGAATGAACATCATTTTAAAAGTATTTTGAACAGTGTTAAAAAGCTCTCATTCTACATCTATTGCCAAATCAGTGAATTCATCTTAAATCTGACAACTTGATTGACAACTTGATTTTCAACTGTTTTTGCTCAAATATATCAAATTATATTCGAAAGCATGGCTCTTTCTCCAAGATGCTTGAAATGATACATTGTATTCCTATAGTTGTTTTGGCCATTTTTACCGCATGCATTTTTCGATGGACAGGTATTGTGTTAGTAGATTGCATCTGCCCAGGATCACAATCAGGAGGTTAACGAAGGGGTGGTGGGTGAGCCCATTAAAAGGGAGTAGTTGGTGACTTTAACCACACCTAGTCCTAAAAATTGTATAATGCTTAATATCAGTCGAATAATTCAAAAATAAAGTTTTCTCATATTTACACATACAATGTGCCTACTCTTCCCTTGGTCAAGATAAAAAAATAAAAGTTTTGGGTAAATTCAAGAATCTTCCACACCAAGTAATTTCCTGCAGTTTTTGATATTCTGGAAACACGGTGGTTGCAGGTTGCACGCTGAAATTTCAAGACTACATAGCCGTTTAAATGTCAGAGTTTGCAGAATATTGAAAAATTGCAGTAATTTTTCCTTCAGTGTTAGTAAATAACTAGAATTCCCTTAAATCATTGAAGAAGACCAAAAAGAAGACAGGCTCTAGGACTACAATTATAAGTTACTTACAAGTAAACGCTTCTAACTGAAAAACAAGCTATTAATTAATAACGAGGTATGTAATAGTAATATATACATAGAAATAATGAGGTATGTAACAGATGTAACAGTAATATATACATAGAAATGGCTATCAAGGTTATTGCAAGCATGAAAGAACACAATAATATAGAGAAATTAGAAATCTAGATAAAAATAATCCTGGCAGTGATGCATTGCCCTTAGGAAAAAGGATTAATTTAGTTCAATGAAATGTTTGTATATAGGAGATAACTGATTAAAGCAAGTATGTTGACGAAATTTCGCAAAAAATAAAAATGTTAAAGGTATTTTTTATTCAATTGATTATTTCAGTATTTCAGTATAAGTCACCTATTAAAAATTTTATATGTATATATCAAGGAAGTACCTACCTTCTTGAGTATCTATCACCATAGTCATCATTATAACTTCTTCCTCCATATCTGTCTGGGCTATATCTGGGTCTTCCACGATACGATGGTGGGGGCATTCGTGAAGAACGACCTTTATGGGTAGATATCTCAACACGTACAGGAACACCACATATGCGTCTGCCGTCCAGTTCTCTCACAGCATCTTCAGCATCACGGTGATCATGAAATTCAACAAATGCAAAACCCGGAGGATTTCGTGCCACCCAGACATCCTTAATGCTGCCAAACTTTGCAAATTCCCTTTCCAGCTCTGACTTGACTCCATTACTTCCAAGATTTCCAATGTAAACCCTTGCTGATTCCTCCCTCGGCATGTCTCCTAGTGTAAAAAGTAATCGTAATCATTATTAAAAGGTAAAATACATTTTATCAATGACTAACATGCTAATTATTTCCAAAAGCCAACTTAGACATTCTGGTTGAGTGATCAAACATAAAACAATCAGAGTCAAGACTCCAGGGAAAGAAAAGTTATAATAATTATCACAAATTACACTTTTTTTCCCTAGAGCCTAAAATTAAAATGTTTCGTGCTTGACTACTCATTGACCAGAATATCAAAAGTTGGCTATTCATCTGTGAGTTACTGTAGTCATTCCCTTTGATGAGCCCAGAGGTTGTTCCTAAGTCCTTCTGCATGTAAGTCAAGCCTATTGCAGTCTTTGTTAGCTTTGTTCTAGTCTAACTTGGGAACTTTTGTTGTTTCTATTAAATTAAACTCATTGGCACTGATGAATTGGAGGGAGGTGCCTGAAAACCGTGTCAGGTCGCACTACTGCTCACAGCAGAGGTAACTATGAAGCCCCTGAAGGCTCCCCTGCAGCAACCAAAGACCACTGGCCAGCGTGCCTTGACTTTAACTTTGCCTAAATTTCCTTTAGCCCCATTTTGACTGTTAATTAACTGTTTCCAGTACCCGAAGAGGGAGCCTTGTTTGCAGTCGACATAAAATTTGAAGGATTTAAAATATAACCCCTCTGCCAATTTTTTGTTTACAAACCGTCATTAAAATTTCTTTTTTGAAATTTCGATAATTCGACCTATCAGCCGGTTATCAGCCTCAATGTGACAAGACAGTACTGTTGTAAAAAAAAGATCAAACCATCAAAATCAGTTTGTTTGCTTTGTGAAGGAACGAAGCGCTGGGAAATCGCGGCAGTTAAATTGTCAACATAATAGACCATGATATTAAACCGTCTCATTAAACTCATTCAGCTTGGGAAGCTTAAGCTTATATCCGATCGATCCGAATTGAAGAAGGCTTTTTAAACTTTATTGAAATAAAGGTAACCTAGCAAGAATTTAAACTAAATATGTTAAAACCTTTTCAACCCGTTTAAAAGAAACCATCAAAGGCCTCGAATCATAACCTGTTAGCATAAACAAGATAAAATATTAAACCTAATTTGTAAGCTTTCGAAAACTTCATGCTGCCATTGTGGTTGATCGATGAGACTCGAGATAACTTGCTTTCCTTCCAAGATTAGGGGGGAAACGTGAAAAGCTTTTGAGTTTAAAAAGTTCATGAAAAAAATTCATTAAAAGATAATGACAATTAAAATGAAGCGAACTTACCTTTGGATTTGTTTAAAAAGTTTGAAAGAACAGTTATAATTCGCTTTGTGTTTGCTGAACGTTAATAATGCATCAAGAACAGCATCAAGCGCGCGAACAGTGTTGTATCATGGGAAGTAAACCACAGCTAGCCCAAACGCCTTTTTTAGTGTGACCTCAATTTCGTTTTCCCATCTGGTGTGGTGCAAGGGAAGGAGGTGGAATCATAACAAAAGTTAAGATAATATAATTTTACAGTAGGTTTGCTAATGACGCAGGTATAGACATGATGACACTACATGTACCGGCTGATAAGATTTCAGTTATCCAATTTATCCAAATACATTTGGACAGAAAATAGTCACCATTCCAACATACTGCAAGGGTTCTATTCCCTGCTAGAAAGAGGGAGAGAAAGAGAAGAGAGACTCTGCTAGCAGGGAAGGGTTCTATTACTAATACCCTAAAACAAACTCTGAAATAATCAAACTCAAGGCCCAGGCTCAAGGCACAGCTAACTCACCCAGATAAAACATTGTAATTAAGCATGTTAGGTGTTGCAATGGAGGAAAACTAGAGTAAAACTCAATCAAGGGAGACCTAGCAAACCCTACTCATGCGATAGCAATTCCAGGGATARACCTCCTCGGCTTGGGCATGTTTTTCCATTTCAGATCATGTGTCATTACTTTGATACTAAGAATCTTAGTTTGATTTGTATCCATGTCTTCTCAAAAGCAACCAAGAACCGTTAAACAAAGAAATGATATTCTTGGGAATGACAGTGGTCTGAAATGGGAAAACATTATGCCTAGCAGGTCCAAGCTGAGGAGGTCTATTGAACCCATAAAGCCAAAGGCCAGAGGCAAGTGCTCTAAAATGCACCACTATGTCTACCTTGGTTCCATTATACTATCAAACACGTCACCATCTGCAGCTTCTTTTTTATATTTTGGACCCTCTTGTCCCAGTCTCAAGGAAAGAAAACTAAATAGAAAGATATCTTTACTAACATTTGCAGTCCCACAAAATATTTATACTTCCCTAGTCTCCTATGCAGCTGTGTCATCTCCCTAGGCACACTCCCCTTAGTAGCTTCTGTACTTAGGGGAGTGGGCATTGTGACAACACTAATAGCGACAACGTAGGAGACTAAAGAGCTTGATAATTTGATAAGAATGATAAGAACTTCTTTGGCTTTGAAAGAAATTGGAAGGGAAGGGTGTAAACGAAAACCACTATGAGAAGAAGGTATTGTCATTCTGGAACTATGCATTACAATGACTAGACATAAGATAAAACCATTTGGTTAATGTACAGTTAACTTTATTTTGTATAAAACAACTGACTACAAGATGACAACAAACTGAAGTTGGTAAATGGAAAAACTTAATAAAAAGATGTTATAAGAATAAAAATCAATGGGGAAATGGCTTACAGGGTATACATGATAAACCTGTACATCAGTTACAATGACTATTTACAAGTACACTTGACAACTATTTGATATTCACAACAATGCCTTGGTACGCACTTGCAGCACAAGAATTACATATGAAGACCCAGTGATCTGTTAGAGAAGGGCTGCACTAATTAAGTCTGTGTTGCCTTTCCTTGCACCTGTTAGATAAGAGCTGCACCGAGTCTGTTAATGATGCTGATGACACATGCTTATGTTTGTGTTGCAAGCATTAATCAGGTTTAAAGAATTAAGATGATTATATGACTATAAGTATTAGTTACAACAAAATCAGGATAACTTGTAGCAAAGTGGCCTTGCTATAATGAAATCTATGGCCATTTCAAAGTGGTTATGAGGTTACTTGATACCTGCAAAAAAAAAAAAAAAAAAAAAAAAAAAAAAAAAAAAAAAAAATAAATTAAGTTAGAGTGCTAACCATATAGAGTGATGGTACTTAATCCATGAAATAAAAACAAAATAGTTATTAACTAATAGTCGCAATTTAGTGCATATTTAGTCGATATCACTCAAGTGAATCAGTCTACATATGAATACACAGGAGACATCAAATACACAAGAAACATGTTAGTCGTTGATAGTCATAGCATTGATGAACAATGCCGTAAATAAAAAATAATCATTCCCTATCTTTTAAATTTTTGACTGGCACCTAAATAAAACAAATTCAAGCTGGCAGCATGCACTTGCAGTAAAAAGTTCTCCTGACATTAAAAATGCCAGCTGTAAATCACTCCGAAAGTCTTTGGAATTTTTGGAATGTATAGAAACTACTAAGCTGTGCTATAAAGTTTTGAATGATCATTTTGCTTACATTTAAGTGCACTATCATGTGTAACTGTGTTTTACTGCCTTGCTGGAGGGCTGCGTGATCTGCTTCTTCTGCTGTAGTGCCTTAATAAAAAATACAATGTTAGGAGTTCTGATAATGCAATAGACGTTTGTAGCTTGTATAAAAATAAATTAATGTTTTGCTATATTTTAAACCATGTGTCGTTCCCCTGAGAAAAAGATTCTTAGGTTGAGCTTCATCAATATTAGTGTATCTTCTCAAGTGTTAAATCAGTAGATAAAGAAATGATTTTTGAGAAAATGACTTGTGTTCTGAAATAAGAAACATGATGCACAAGCTGAAACTGCCTGAACCAGCCATACTTTAAAAAGTGTGAAAATTGAGTGAAAGAGGGAATCCTATACTTACACTGGGGAGCGGTCTCGTCCGCCACGAGGTGGTGACCTTGACCTGAGGATTAAAAAATATTTATTTTAAGTTATGACAATATGCAAACAAGAATTTAGCTATAAATCAAACTGATGTATAATCAAAGAATGAAAAGGACTAGAGTAGATCCAGGGGGGTCAAGATACCGACATATTTTTTGCAGCTCTTTTACACATTTATTCAGTAACGTACTACAGTATATCCACTAAACTTGTGTAACATTCTCTCAGTATCTAGTCGCCCTTAAAAAAATTCTGGATCTCCCCTGCAATTTAATTATTTATCTATAAATCATAACAATTTACCATAATTATAAATTGTTATTATAGCTTTATTTGAGGTACAAAAATGATGTAGTACTGAGTCTATTTTTACACAGTCACATAGCAGTTCAGATGTGTACTTGACAAAGGAAAACCAGACCTTTTATACTTTTACTAACAAAACATGACAAAAATCACTAAACACTACCTCTTTTAGTGAAATAAAGCTGAAGAGATGAAACAGATGATGACAGTGATGTGATTTTGTAGGGGAGTAGAAGTATAGAGTTGATTTGAGTCATTGGATGCGGTGGCTCTTGAAAGATGACCGTGAATCAACAAAATTGCAGGCTAACTCTGAATAGGTGCTGCTGGAATTTTTGCATGCCATAAATGAAGATAAGATGCACATGTTATTGCCATTGGTTGGTTGGGATTTGATTGTTGAGGTAAGCTGAATTGCATGAGAGAAAACTTCCTTCAATCAGTAGCAACCAACATGTGCATGTTATGCTGATTTCTTTCAAGCTGGCATCTCCAGTAAAAGCTGCTGAAAACCAGATGTGTTGAGGGATGTGCTTGGCATCTCAAGCTTTGACAGAGTATGAGAATATCCTGTCGGCCTTAGGGAACATGAATACCAGACATGCAGCTTGTGAATTTGGAGACTAGAGCCGGTAGTTGACGAAAATTGAAGTAGGTGATGTGGGTAATATAGTAATCGTCTGTAGGCTCTTTGTCTTAAAAAGCTGGTGCATTAGCCAGACTAGCTGAGTTGTGTTGAAGAATAATATGGGGAAGTGCCTCAGATAGGAGGTCCCAGTATTATAGGGAATGAATTCATTGTAGTTTTGGGGAGGTTCCTAGATGGCAACCTAGAAATGGTATAACGTTACATTAGTATTTCCATACACCTGACTATAACAAACGAAGAAATTGTGGGATACTCTTCACCCCTTACTCCAAATATAAATAGAAAAATTAATACCCTAGTACCAAGAATAGCACTATCAATATGTGTACCAGAGATTGCTACCACAGTTTGCATTTGCATACAGATTATCTGCCATCGTCATGAGTACTGTATCTTGCAAAATACCAGTAATAAAATGTCTTTACATGACRAGAATGTTTTTAAATATTTATTTACCTTCTTCTAGGTGGGGGAGAGTAGCGTCCTCTGTAACCATCATCTCTACGTCCCCCACCTCTATAGCCACTTCTTCCACCTCCAGAGCCCCGACTTTGGCGATGTGATATCTCAACTCTGACATATTTATCACACAGCCTTCTTCCATCCATTTTGTACACAGCATCTTCTGCATCACGGGGATCTTCAAATTCTACAAATGCAAAACCTGGAGGGTTTCTTGCAACCCACACATCACGAAGACTGCCATAAGCTGAAAAGGCTTTCCAAATCTTTTCTCTGTCACCACTGCTTCCCAAGTTGCCCACATACACTTTTGCAGACATGCCTTAAAAAAGAAACATGTTTTTGCAATTTCATTATTATTATACTACACACTCAATTTCCTGTGTATTACGACCATTTTTTAGTGCAATTACAAAGCAAAAATACATGGCCTGTGAACTGGGTTTGAACAGGTTTCTTTGCTGATGTCAGCATGAGAAAATGTTCTCATTTTACTTTGTGGTTTGGGTTATTGACTTTCAAGTTTGCTTGTTTACAATAAAAATGGTTGTTTTTCATGCACTCTTTCTCAGTTTTGTGTGTGTGTGTGTGTCATACAATAAACAATTTATCAAATTGAGCTAATCCTCACAGTATATGAAGCAACTTATGCAGCTGCAAATTGAAAGAATTGAGAGTCTTGAACGGGATTTGAACCTGTGCCCTGGTGATTCTGGTGCCATGCTCTAACCACTGAGTGACTCATATGCAGTTAGGATCAGCTCAAAAGACCAGTTTCGAATTCCAAATTACTGCTGTGTTCCTTGATCACAGACTCACTTGTACAGGGTTAGCCTCGTATCAGTGTTTAAATATTCACAAATACCAACAGAAAAGTAAAGAAAAGAATGCACAACTTCAACAATACAAACATTTTGAAACTCGACGGACCTTGACTGGAACACGTGAATATTCTGCACAAACTCGAGGCTAACCCTGTGCAAATGAGTCTGTAATCAAGAAACACAGCGGTAATTTGGAATTCGAAAGGAGTCTATTTGATACATTACAACCGCAGTACGAATATATATTTCATATATATTCTCATACAAATAAGCAATTTATTACACTGCTAGTCATGTATCACAGCCAGATATAAATTTTACTCATGAAGCTGTATTTTCCTCACCACTGACCTTTTTCACTCGTAAAATTATTTCTTATAAGTTATCAAGTCTATTCTTATACTTATACAAAATTTTCAGGTTTTTAACGTAAGCAAATTACAAGGGAAAAGGTTCAAGCTGTAAAAATTATAAGCCTATGTCGAATCTTCACTAAACATGCTAACGCAAACACAAAGCGTGGCTTCAAAATTGAACGCAAAAAAACCTTTAAATTCTAATAGAATTAGAAAAAATCACATGAAATTTATTAGGGCAAAGCTTACCACCTCGTAGTGATGCTTTTGGCTATTTTTTTTTKAGGTTTTGAAGCTTGAGCTTCACGTTGCTGCGTTTGACTTTGTTTTTTTTAACTGAGAAAAAATTATTCCCCTCTTTGTGGAAAGTTAGATTTTTCTATCTAAAATATTGATTACTAAATAACCCTCACAATATAAACTACCTAATATAACTGAATAACGTGCATTAAAGTGAGAAAGATTTATAAATCAAGCAAACTTGAATGTGTGAGCGAAGATTAGACGAAGCGTCTTCTTATCAGCTTTCGAAACAAGAAACTCTAAAGGCTAAAAATACGCAGAAAAATACAGCTTTCACTGGTTTTGCTCGAACAATTCAAAAAGTAACTATTAATAATTATTTTTCTGTCGCCTGAATTCTTTTGCTTACCTTTTTCGACTGTAAAAGAAGAGGTTTCAATTCGAGAACCAAAAACAAAATGTCGACCAGCACGATTCTTTCACCTCGAACTGCTATACCACAATGCATTGCTAGCCCTGGCTCTGTGGAAAGTTCTACTGGAAGCTTTGGACTCTGGATTCTTGGAATGAAATTCAAACAAACATGCCTTTCATTAATATTTTACTTAATTATTTCATTCAATTTTTTCCCCTATGGTTTTTAGCCTTACTAGTCAAGCTTAAGACAAAAAGCTGCAATATACATCTTATAAGAGATGTATTACGGTAGGAAACATGTTTATGCCACCAAGTCCACCAATCGGTTCACCAGAAAAAGCCCACGTGATTGTAATTTTTCAGCAAAGTCATTATTTAGGATTTGTTACAAGAACGTAAATACGTCAAAATACCGGCGATAAGTCAATTATTCTTGGCAAATCACGGGGAACAGTTGTAGGAAAGAAAAGTGGGCCAGAACAGAACAAACTAGTTCAACAGCATGCTGGTCTGAATGAGTGGTGAGTATAGACACGTGCACAGATCAGTTACAATAATTATGGTATAGATTCCTAATCATTATAATCTTAGTGTAGATAAAAACGCGTGAAAACAATTATTTCTCAGTGGACGAACTAGTTCGGATCGATATCGACGGCAGTTACTTCGCAGATTTAATTTATTTTTTTATTTTTATTTTTTCTTCTTCCTCTTCTTTTTCAGTTTTCTTCTTCTTTTAAATTGTTACGTTTTGGTTGAATATCTAACTAGACTCAACTTAAAGATGTTATGAAAAGGAAGGGTATTTGACAACTTTAAAAAAATCTGAGGCGATACTTTATCGGCTGACGTTCACTATCCAATGACTGAGTATTTCTATGAGCCAAAAGAAAAAACTTGAACTGCAAGACTTTTCACTCTTAAGCTTTCCTGACCTAGATTGGAGCCGTGCCATTCATGTGAGCACTGCTAGAATAATAGGTTCCCCGCAGTCAATACATTTGAGCAGGGTAGTCGGTCGATCAAAGCAAGATTTAAAAAATCGTTATGATATTGCGGAAAACTCGCTATGATAATGATGGTTGATGATGACTGATAATCGGAAGATATTGTGGATGATATGGTTTAATGATGTGATGAAGATGATGTAGTATTTTAAATTGAAGAAATAGAAAACGCGTGCGCATGCTTTGTGCAGTTATAAAGCACGCGGGGGTTGGCAGAACACGTGAGAAGTGTTAGGAGAAGCACGACGCGTAGCGAAATGCCTCGACACTTCTCGGGTGTTCTGCGAATTCAAGTGCTTTATGACTCCACACAGCACAAAAAACAAATTTTTTATTTCTTTCATAAAATACAAATTACATGAATGACTTAACCGAAAGTACGCGCTCGTGCTGTGTACATAAAGCACGCGCGCGCTCTCTGCATAAAGCACGCGCTCCCATGCGACCAATATCAGAACCCGTGTTTTATAACAGTTATTTTATAACTTATCATACATAGTTATGGAGACCGGTAACTAAAATAACTAAAAACATTCAAAAGTGTTTACGCCATTTTTGCATGACATCCGCCCAGCTGCCAATATCACTGTCATAATTCAAGTTCTGATACATCTTTCGCTTGTACTAGTACCTATTACTGTAACTATGAAGCAAGAAAATCGCTTGACAGCCGCGATATTGATCATGGAATTTCTTAATACTCTTTCTTTCTAGATAATTTTAGAGACTTGAATCGAAAATGTCTTCTCTCTTACTTTATTGACCAAACACGATTCGCGCTAAGCTAGAGATTTTAGCGGACGTCGAGTGCGCATGCTTGCTCACTTGCTCACTTGAAAAATCAACCTCGTCCTATAGGGACGAGTTTGTTGAAAAATCAGCTGACTTCAATTTTAGAAATTCGTTATAGGATTATTTTTAGCAAATTGATTCATATGATGAGAAATAAGAAAGCTAGAACAACCATAAACTTCCGTTTATAGCTGTAAAACGTAGAGAGATTTCTTTAGAAGCATAATCAGTTAGAGCGTCCATCTTGATCAGGGAGGTCATTTCAAAAAGCCGATTCCAAGGCCGGCTGTAGTTCAACGAAGCCGGTTACATGGACAGCAAGAAAACTGTGCAAATTCGAAGGAGAAGTTTTCGTAAATAAATAAAGCATAGTTATAATTAGTACGGCGCGCCTGGCATGGTATCAAGATCAAGATCAATATCAAGACAAGACCAACAGGAAACGAAGTAGTGATTTACAAGCCGAACGGAACTGAAAGAACCCAACTTTTAAGTAGATAATGATTGATGTTATCTACCGCGTGGAGCTCAGAGTACCGATATATATATAGCCCACAGTATCGTGATAAGCGCCTTGTCGACAACACAGAGAAAAAAGAATTCAAAACAGGAAAATAAAATCTGATTTCAACTTAATCCCTGAACGAATTTAATTCAGAATCACTGCCTGAAGTACTGACGTTAGAGGATTAATTTGTTCGTTTCTTTTGGATTAGTCAATAGTCTACTAATATGCGTTATTTTGTTGTTCTTATAAAATCAGATAGAGTATKGATTTTATGGATGATTATCCTAACAGCTAGGGCCAGCAGTGGGGGATCCAGATTGTTTCAAGGGCGTGACTCCGTCCTACAGAAAAGCTTCTCATGTCGTCCTTTTTAGCTTTTACCTGGGGCTGGGGCTTTTTTGGTTGGTCAAGCCTTTTTATTTTGATGAAAGCTTTCCCTTGTTGACTGTAATAGGGAGGTTATGAATTTCTAACTGAAGGGATACTTATTTTATTTAATTTATTTATTAAATTTACAACTAGATAATTAAATCTAATCGAGGGCATGGCCAATAGGACAAGAGTCCCATGTAAAGACCAACCTAAAAAAAATTGCTCCAAATCCACCTTCCCTGAATGTTTTCAAACTCCAAAAAGGGGGAGGGGGGAGGGCGGTGTCACCCAATTGACCACCCCACCCCCTCCCAAGACCCACCTTTGGCAAGGACGTGTGAGAGTTCACGGACATGAAGGGATTAGCGATAGTCAATCTTTGATAAGAGTAAGATGATTGTCAGTATAGTATAGATATGYATATATATATGGTGTTTTTATAGACTTCCAGCCATTCGACGTTGAATAACCATATGATATATTACAGCCAAGGTAAATGTTTTCTTTTAGTTTAATGAATATAAACCAGACTGGACAGCAAAATGCGAGAGATTGATTAGTCTAAACTGAGTTGGCGGTATTTTTGTCAAGACTTCAATTTTGCCCCCCCCCCCACTTTTTTTTCCTTTTCTTTTTTTCCCGCTTTTTTTTCAAGGTAATTGGCGAGTTGGAAAGAACTGAACAAAGACATCATGGTTTGCATTTCTGGTACTTTTCAAAATAATTTCCAACAAAAACAACAGAAACGAAATAGAAATTGGTTCTAGTATATCAAGAGAATATTATTCATATTCTCTTGAGTATATATAGTATGCCGTGTTTATTATTCTTCGTGTTTAACTTGCCGATGGCGGAAGTTCCTATCAGAGTAAAAGTCTTTCTTTCGAGTCTATATTTTCGTCAAACTAACAATAGATCAATATATCATTTTTAACGACCAATACTATAAAAAGCAGGATTTTTTCAGCATTAATATACAACAGTGTATATATATAATGCTCTTGATGGCTCAGATTAAAACCAAAGGCTTAACATAAATGATATTTAGCTCAAACCAATCTACCTAAAAACCTTGAAAATCCTCTTACGAGTTCTAAATGCGAACATTTCGATGCAAATAACACTCACGCATGGGGAAAAGAATTATTCTCTAATAAAAATGCAGTCAAGCAGGTCTAAACATCGCTAAGTGTTCGGTTCTTTTTCCCTATAGCTGGCGACTACAATTAGCAGCTCTTTTGCAGTTTTCACTCAGTTTGTTTGTTTGTTTGTTTGTGTACGTGATTGAAGTAGTTGGTCTCGTTTTCTTTCTTACGTTACTTTGTTTATGTGTTTTATTTATTTATTTACTTTTCTTGTGGATTTTATAAGTTGAAGTGTTCAAATCCTTGCTGGATTTAAGTAAATTCATTAATTCATCCTTTTCTCTTTTGCATCTTCAGTCATAGTGTTCCTTTCCTTTCCTTTCCTTTGTCTTTTTCTCCCTTCTTCTTTCATCCTTTCAAATTCATTTTTCAGTTAAATTTTTTCCCTCTTTTTTGCCCTTCTCATTTCTTAAACTTTTTCCCATCCTTTTCGTCGAAGTACTAAAAGATGTTTGTTATCAAGTAATAGTCTTACTGCGTCAATATCATTAATATTGCTCACGAAAGAACTTATGCTACCAAACTCACGACACGTACCTAATGTGTCCATCAGTATAGACACCACAAAGTACCTTAACTCTCTACTGATCTAAATATTCTATCTAACTAGTAGATAACATAAAATAACTGCTCACAAGTCAAGAGAGAACGTCAGTGTTGACGAAGGAGGTATCTAACCTAGAACTAATGTACTAGAATCGCATATTTGAACGACGTAGAACACGGCGACAATCCAGAGCGATGGTAAGTCATCACTTCCATTCTATTCACCCGTCACTTTTTCTAATTTCATAAATGGTTAAGTCAGTTGTTTCCAACTATAACCGTTTTAGACTATTTTTGAGAGTATATTGGACGAATTTTTTCTTGTGTGCATAGTTTAAATTTAAAATTCAGTGCAGGGTCGTTCAGAACAAAATTACCCCGCCAATTTGTCCTCTATTTCTTTAGTGAGAAAAAGGAAAGGTGGCCAATCGAGAAAACGAGAGAGTTAAGTCATTAACGTTAAAAGCAATATAGTACTATATTACGATGATTAATCGTTGTCATGACTGTAATTCTAGTCCTCTAATACTTTTATCCTCATTTACTTGAGGAATTAGAAAAAGTATGAAGGTGGTTTTGGACATTTTGGATGGCAACGATCCGCTTCATACGAAAACATTGAAAACACTCTTGATGACACGCGAATGGGTACAATTAACGAAAGTCTATAGAATAAGGTAGAGAATAATTCATATTTCAACGTAAAATCTTTCACTGAATTGAGTCCGTCCTAGTTTCCTGGTAGGTTTTTCTCACCTTTTCTGCGTTAAAGTTAGATTCATTTGTCATTCGATTCGAGTGTATCAGAAAATTAATTAAATCGTACTGTAATTAAACTACAAAAATAAGGGAAATTGAAAAATTGCAAGCTAGTGGAGTAATTTTCACTCGTTGGGTTTGTTAATTACATGTGAACGAAAGCAGGCTAGCACAAGCTACGGTCGGTAAAGAATGAAAAGGGCTTGCGGTAAATGTGATTTTTTAAATCTCGGAGTAAAGGAAAGAAATAAAGATCGCAAGTAGGAATAAAAATCATGACAACATTTCATTATATATCACCAACGAAAATGATTTTCTATAAGACCTATTTATCAACGAAAATAATTTTCCCTAAGTACTATCATGTCCTTATTGAAACGTTTTGATGAATATGAGTCTAATGAGTCACAAACAAATTGACATAGTCTAACGTCAGTATTTGTCCTAATGCAGTGTTTATCATTGTATTTTATTTTTTCAGCAGAGAACTTAACAACCGTTGTATAAAGAGTTACTGATGTGCTCGGAGAGCGAGTCGTTCTATTCCGTTTTCACTTGATGGAGGAAAGCTCTGAAAAGTTTTGAGTGGCATAGAACTCTTTGGTCTTTTGAGATTTAAGAAAGAAAGTTCCACGAAAGAAAAGGAGAATTGGCCCCCAAAACGCATTGTCTAGAAGAAGATACGTTGTTCCTAACTCCCTCAGTGAACCAAGGATCATCATAATATCTGTAAGAGCTAAACACTGGAGAGTCAAACAAAGACTAAGTTAGATCGAACTTAAGACGCCTTGATTGATATCAGAAGAAACCTTCAAGTCAAAATCGTGTGTAGTGTATAGACGATTTTATCTTTGGAAATATTACAGTACAAAAGCATTATAAAAGCTTCATATCGACTCCATCGCTTTAATCAACACTTTAGGCTTTGATCACATTCAAAGACGACTTAGTAGAACGGAAATAACCATTGGTTTGTTTAGTAAAGCGTGCACTGGTGTTGAGTGCCCATATTTCCATGCACGAAGAAGACAAAAAAGGTTTAAGTGTAAAAATAAATAAGACGAAGTCGCGCGCACTCGGCTTGTGAAAAAGAAAACTTTTGTGGCAATATTACTGGGACTGACTACGCATTTTGTTTTTGCTTCTAATTGGTTAGTCATGATGCGACTTAAATCCCAGTCTCTTCCAGAGACGGAAAACACGAAGGTTGAATTTGGTCTGGTCGCTGAAGGAAACCTCAACTCCTTGAACCCTAACAGGCTGAGTATGCAAAGAAGCAACAGTGCGCTACCGCAAAGCAGTAAAGAAATGAGAACTGCGGGGAAAAACGCCGAGGAGAAGAAAGCAAAAGCAGGTAAACGATGGAAAGTACTGCGGCTTTTGACTCTCGTTGCGAAGCGAAATAAAAATGGCCGAAAGAGAACTGACAGTACAAAAACTATTGACGCAAGTGAGGATTCATTCTCTCCTTTGAATGACCAGGAATTTTCTTTCGACGGAGCGAGCAGCGTTAAGGAAATCACGATTACAAAACCAGAGGAAGACAGAGATCAGGAAAGTGAAAGTAACGTTAAAAGGCAGGAATCAACTTCGAGTGATAAAAGGATCATGTGGGATGAGGAATCAATTGTTGAATCACCGAGCAGAAAAATTAGTGAAGGGCAGTACATGATCTCGAATACTGCTCTGGCTACCGCAGTAGGGAAGTGGAAAGAGAGTATTCGTCCGAATGCCCCAGAGCTATACGAGTCGGGAAAGGGAGTGCCCAGGCGGCTAGGGGTATGTGAAGAGCTRGAGAAGGCTGTAGTTAATGATGGAACGTCTCTTCATGAACTGCGCAAAGACTTGACAGTCTATTTGACGCTAGATGAACTTGGAATGCTATGAAAACATAACACGATTAGCAAAACTAAAACAAATGCCTGAGGCTAAAAACAATGCAAAAGTGCATGGGAATGTTAACACACGCTTAAAAGGGGCTTAAAGAGATGAATCTTCAAGTAGCGATAGTGTATATAGTAAACGATGGCATCTTGTCAACGCTCAACTCATATCAAACACGACAGACTTCTTGACTCCAGACATTTTAAGTTGAGTATATAATGTTGTTGTGGCCTCAAATGGAGAATATTGTATCAAGTATAATAGCAGGATATTTTAGACTGTTATGATTGCTTTCAGGGGAAGATACTCATTGCTTTCTTAAAAAGTGGAGTGGACTAAAATAAATCCTCATATAACCGAGCCCGCATACGATGTTGATGACTCTATTCTCTATAAACAGCGATATTCAACAGTCAATGAGACAAGAGACAATCTAAGCGGATTAAGACGGTGCAACCATGGTGCGCAGCAGTAAATATTAAGAGTCTACATCATGGCACGCGAAGAAAGTTCTATAGTACTAAGTGATCGGATCGTTGGCAAGAATTATCAAATCTTCACTTTAATTTCTTAAAATCGTTTAGTGGCTGAGAAATGCTCTAGTAGAGGTAACCGGAATAACGCTTGAGTAGAACGCACGCAGTTTTAAAGAGGGGTTACTACTAGCAACGCTCCGTTAAGTGGGCCTTAGTCGTATGAAATTATGTTTACTTCCGCTATTGCGCGTGTTTTCATATATTTAATATACTTCGATCTTGTTGATATAAGGTCATTTGTAATTTATTTTTACAACCGTTTTATGACTTGTAATCGCGCAACTTTGTGTTTGATATCAACTACTTTTTGCGCTTTTACGACTAAACGTTTTCTCTTTCTGTAGTCTTCTATTCTTTTTTATGTCACTTTTTCAGCTTTACARAGGGGAATAATTAAACTTTGAAGGGATCAGCTGATTAGGGACCTGTCATTATTGAACGCATGGGGGGTGGGGATTAGCGGATTTAGGGAAGACAAGCTTGCGAAGCATGTGTGCTAAAGCTTGGTGCATAACGAAATAATTCCTGCCTGATGAACGTCATATATTAAGTGACGTCATCTTCTAAATGACCTCATATGTTATGTCATGAAATATACTCACTACAGAGACTATAGTGATGTCACAAATGAGGTTTCAGTTTATATAAATAAAGGAGAATCAGACGTACCTACAGTTTTCTTTAACATTCACAACTCGCCGTTAAAGCACATTTCAAGCCTATAATGCATCAGTTTTAACTGACAACTCAAACTTTTATGTCATCAAACCTGAAAAAACCTCGGCACTAATCCAAGTCAGAACCCGCTAGCTCATTTGCTGGAGTCTTAAGGCTATTTATTCTCGCTCCGAAGAGATTTCGCACAGAGAAAAAACGAGGTTCCTTTCGCTTTCCTTCGGCACTCGCTCGTTACAACCACAGCAAGCGAGATAAAACATTTGGAGTCCAGGGCCCAGTTGCATAAAGCTCTCTTAAGATAAAAAAGCTTAAAAACACTCGTAAGTATTGTCTTAGTACAATGGTCTATTGTTTTGGAACAATAATTACGGATGCTCTTATCTTAAGAGAGCTTTATGCAACCGGGTCCAGAGTAGTTAAATCACAGATTGAATTGGACGTTAGTGTTGGGTTTTGGAGGAAGCTGGTGGAAAACTAAAGAACCCGGAGAGAAACTCTCGGATCGAGTGTAAGACCCCGGCACAAGCATTAATCAAATGCACGATGCACGATGCAAGAAACGATTTTTCTTTCGGACTATATACTCATGTTCAGAGACAAATCATTTCTGCATCGGCCACGTGATAGTCTACGAGTAGGCTTTTTTGTTCCCAGACATTAAACACTATCAGTTAGATCCCTGAACCCTAAACCAACCCCTTGGGAGGTCTAGTAATGTCAAGGCTCGACTAGAAATATAAATATTGCATTCATATTTCCTTCAAATCAACAAAAGATCGAGATTCATGGCTAATAAACTAGGGGGGGGGGGGGGTGTACGAATTAGTGCAAAGTTTTGTAGGTCTGCGGTCTACTGAGGTCTAATTTGTGCAAATGTGTGCAATTTCTTACAAAGGTTTTCAAGGATATATGTTAAGTGCACGCTAGTGTTGGAGATTTATGGCTAACGGGCCGTTTTCTCAAGGTTGCATGCGCATCCAAATTTAATGAACTTGACCGGCCACGATACCAGAACAGGAGCTTTATAATGAGAATTATCATACATATCTATTAGATTTTTCAATGAAAATTTATCAAATCGATTATTCTCCTCATTAAATATAAAACTGGCTTCTCAATTTTACTGAATTTGCGTTTTTCAGTTATGTGGCCCGTCAAGTTGGATGCGCACGGCAACCTTGGTAAAACGGTCTATTTATACTGCGACAGTTTCTGGGAATATCAGCTTCAAGGGTTTTGTTTTTTAGGTTCTTATGGTTCCATAACACGAAGATAAAGTTTCAAGGGCGGTTTTTTGTTTTCTTTGCCAAAAATAATATTTTTTCCGCATATACTATTATCGGCCACTAAAGGGGTTGAAGCAGGAAGAAAAGAGATTTTTGTTATGTCAGAATTAAATGAAATTTTTTTTTATTAATTGTAAAAAAAATGCTAAAAATGAGGGGTATATTCTTGAAAATATAATAGGATTTGACGCTAGTCACGGATATGGTTTTCCAGAGTTCAGCCTTATGTTTCTTGGCATGTCTTGGTCGAGTGCAGCATTTCACTGTGTTCATCACAGAGTGGGAGAATAGATGTTTTTGGAGCCTACAGCGATTGGTAGTACCAAGTCCAACCAAAATAACCCTTAATTTAAAAATGTATAATTTTTTTTTGGTATCTTCGCTTCGCATGGTCCTGTTTACACCCCAAATTATCTTACTTTTTTTTATTATCTGTGTTGAAATCACATACAAGATACCCCGGGGAGAGACGCATTCGGAGCGGGGAAGAGGACGTCTACTTTCTCAGGCTATAACTGTTTGGATGGAAGTACTCTTAAACATTGAAAACACAAACGAAGGAAAAGACGAAAACAAAAATGAGTTCGAGCACGTATGAATAAATAAACTGGGTTCTTTAAAGTTTTTAAAAAATGTCTTGTTGAAGTAATGTTTGCGTGATTTTCTCCATAAATGTTATGCCTATCATGTTTTAAAGTCAACATTATACGTTTGAAAAGTCTTGTTTCTGCTACCACTATTGCTATTGAGAAGTTGTGGCTGATTTCCGACTTAAAGGGGAAAAAAAGATGATTCGTGCCATGATAAAGCGTTCGTGATTGAATGCACACACAGGCGCGCAATGATTGGTTCTAAAGATGACGTTAGTTCTGTATCTTGTCGGCCGAGTCTTAGCTGTGGTTTTTCGCACCCAAATCTGCGCTCTTCCCAAAAACACTTAAGATAGACTAGAAGAAACAGTCGTCAAAACATTCCAATAAGAATAAAATAAAAGATAATGTAAGTTTGTTGTACGTACGGTAAGGTTATAAAACTACGAGTAGTTTACTATCATGTTAACACACTGAACAAGTACCGACAACAAAGGTACTAATACTACTTCAAAAAAAATCTGTACGACTTTTATTGAGTAAGAGATGGATAAAATTGATGTGGATGCTGACCTTTCTACTTCAGACTGCAAGGAGAAAAAACAATACAGAAAACGATCCAAGAAGTACAAAATTACCGCTGACCAGAGCCGACAGTCTAAAATGTCGTATTGGTCCTTGGCGAAAAGATTGAGAAAAGAGACAAAAGCTGGCGAGAAAGAAGAGCAAGAAAGTTCATTATATTTGATTTCTAGAAGAGGAAGCTTTGAAAAAGTCCATCGTCGTTAAGCAATCTGTGAATGCTTAGAAAAGGAAATCCATTCTGGTTACGGCGAGGAGTTCCTGTACGAATCAAGGAAACAGCTCGTCATCGGATACAGAATTTCCAAGATCTTCTTCATGTAATACAAGCAGGACAACACCTAGCTAGTCTTTCCTTTTCCTTCCAGTTTGGGATGACTAGGACTTGACCGAAAGTCGTAGGCTTACACACCCAGGAATGCTAAGCTCCCGTAACGACACACTCTTTTTTTTTTTTTAATTAAAAAAAAATTTTTTTTTAGAGATAATGAAACAGGCATAGCCTCTGAAATAAAAGGATTTGCAATGAAAATAAATTGAAATTTTTATTTAATGTAACTATATTTATTATTATAAATACATTATATTAATAATCATATCAAACCATGCCTAGTCTAGTTTTAATCGGCCTATATAAGGCAGATTAAGGCTCAGGTCAAACGTCGAACTTCACATGAGCCGAAACTTATCACATCAAAGAAGACTGTCTTGTTATCCATTGTTTCAATTAGGTTCGACTCATGTGAAGTTCGACTTTTGACCTGAGCCTAAGATTCCCGTTTTTCATTCCCGCAAACGGCAAACGTGACCACGTTTTCATCGTTTCTCTACATCTCACTTTACCTGTTGCAAACCTTCTCGACAAAGACAAGTATTCTTTTGTTTATCTGTTACTTGGATATTTTTCGATTCTTTTTCACTAATTTTTAAAAAACGTTTTAATTGTCAACTGACGTTTCACGTTTGTCGTAAACGAGAATCTTAAGCTCTCTTTCATTTCATTCTGACGGAGAACAATCATTGTTTTAACGCTAAAAATCATGGTCATGGGAGGGTGACGAAACAGCAACAGCGCACAGGAAAACTGAAAAAAAAAAAAAACGTATTGGCCTCCAAATATCCACGTATACATAGAGGCTTTGCACCATCACGTGACGGCAGCCATGTTAGATGGCAGGAATAATACAATCGTTTTACACGAGAAAGAATTCTATTCCCGAGAGCAAAGGATTTTATTGTCAGTCTGCCATCTTACCACAGGCAGTCCAAGCTGTATTATGGGCACCAACAGGTGATGGTGCAAAACCACTATTGTAGGTTTAATAAACACTGGTTTATAAAATGTTTGATAAACGTCAGAGTAAAGTTAGTCGAAATTCTTGACAAAACAATCTTTGACCTAACGGTGTGGTTAGCTTATTTGTTATTGTTACAAATACTAGATTGTAGATTATGAATCTCTTCGCTGGTTCTACTGATGATAGTTTAAGCGGCAAGCTTGAACCAGAGGTATAAGTACCATCGACTCTCTCTCGTTTTCTCTCTGGTCTCTGAAGATGACTTCCCCTCAGGTTGTCGTAAAAAAATCAGTCACGACCAACAACAGTCTTTCTCAAGACTACACTGACCCGGACGATCACACTTCACAACAAACTTGAATCTCTTATAGCGATTTCATGTCCCGTTGCGTTACTCGTCCCAGTCCTCGACTCGACCTTTTTAGACGACATGACAATCAGTAGATGGTTTTAGAGGGGCGCCGTGAGTGTGTCTATGGGATGGGCCATTAGATAATTGAGGGGGAGGGGGTTGCAGTAATTTATGTTGCAAGATATGATCAAATTATCATATATCATATTATCACAAATCATATGCACTTAAATGATAACGATAACTTATATTGTTGTATAGCTCATTCTACAAAGAGTACCAGGGACTTCATATCATTTGTGGAGTGTTCTGTAGTTGCTCCAACGAAAGGTGCAATTTTTGACCCATATTTATTGTTTCATCCCTTGTGAAGTTAAGAAAGCGATAATGCTCAAGGGGAATGCTGTTCGTTAAAATAGGAAAGCCCTACGCAAACATTAGTCATTGAGACGATGCTGGTGAAGTATACTTCGGGATCCCACGCGAATTAATCCGCGGGAAAGACAGAAGTTGCTACGCCAGCAACATCAAATGGCCTGCATGGAAACCACTTGGGTTTATGACAGCAGGAAGGAACGTTATAACAGTTACGCCTATCCTAACCACTTCACCGCAACTAAGTAGCAATTTAGACTATTTGGAGCATTTGATTTCCACGTATCACGTAATAATTGCAAAGCTTCTTGGATTTTTCTTGTACCAACGAGCCATGTCGCCAAAAATAAATTGCTAAATTTATCACTTAGCGATATTGCATCAGAACGTACAGAGCGAATCCTTAAATGGATTGAGTATTGTTGAAGAGCAAAACGATGAAAAAAAATCATCCAAACGAGCAAAACGCCTTTCTTATCTAGAAGGAATGACATACGTAGGACGCGTTTTTGAAATTGCAACGTTTCCATTTGCCGAATACACGACAGGTCCTTTTTGAAAATCATAATTATGAAAAAGTTTTCTCAATAAAGATTATTATTATAACAACATTTGATTGCACAAATTATGGTCTGTGCTGAAAAATATATTAGCAACTTATTGTTTGCAGGAAGTTTGAGACTGTTTTTTGGGGGGGGGGGGGGGGTATGAGAATTCTTGAGTGTCTTGTCGAAACTTGAACCAAATTGTCTCTATTCGTTTCCAGTTATATGTGCAAACAATTTTAAATTCAACTGTGTTATATAATCCTAGATAAATAAAACCACGTTGCATGAGTTACATTTGCCATTAACGGAAAAAAGAAACTTTGATTACTTTTAAACTGTATCGCATCCGGACCAATCTAGAAAGACGAGCTCTTTATCCCACGCAAATAGTTTAAATGATACGCAAACGTGTCTTGATGAAATAAAATGGGCTCAAATAGGAAAAGAATAAAACGAAAGCAATCCAGCTGAACTTGACATTAATTGTTTGGGAGAAAAGCTTTATCGTTCTCTTTTCCTTAGAAGAAATAMGAAAACATTTATTAGAACCATGGCCTCGGCACCTGTGAGTATTATTACATTTTACTGGCTTTCTTGTGCACACTTTTCAGTTTTTGAAGAACTCTTGATCATAAACAGCCTTTATCATTTTTCGTAAATGTATGGTCGTTTTATAGATATTAGTTTTATCTAACTCCGCAAATTCTCCTTCTTCGATTACGGAAGTGTAAAATCATCTAAATTTACACAAGTCAAAATATWACAAAGAAGCCGTGAACTTTGTTTTGACCTTACAGCACCTCATGACGTTCCTTAAATAGAATACCACGTGACAAACATTTATTATACTCAAGTCTAGGCTTCTTTKMMAAWTTTTTTTTTTTTTCACTAAAAATAATTTAATGTCTTTGCCTTTTGACTTAGAATCTTTCAATTAAAGCCATCTTCAGGTAATTTTTTTTAGCACTGAAGTTTTCGTTTTTGTATATATAGCAGTGCATAGTGCATGTTATTTCAAGACGTTATGTTGGTAGTCGTTTTACTTCACTCAAGTAACGTGAATAAGAGTTTTCCTAGCAGAATTTCTAGCGATAACTGTTACGTCTTTGCAAGTTTTGAAGGCCGAACGCCCTACTTCAAAATTATTCTTGTTTTCATAAATGGCTTTTTGTAATTAACTTTTTAAAGCCATTTGCAATTATATTCGTTTCATTTGGACTAAACGCACGACAATGAAACACGTTTTGATATTAGAACACTTCAGTGATGTCGTTCGCTCGCTCGCTCGTCTTTTCGTCTCACAAGTAATTCTATATAGCATTATAGTAATGAAATGAAGAGGGTTGTTTTTTCACTCATGAGCTTCTCTTATTCAAAAGAGGAGCTAAGTTCTTACCTACCAATTACTAATAAGGTAAWAAATATTCATTGTGCTTTGAATAGAACCATCAATCAATTATTTTTTTAAGAAAACCACCGAATTGACAGAATAATAACTGAAAACTAAAGACTGAAAACCTTTTGGTAAGCTGAGCTTACCACTATATTTTTAGCTGGTTTCTAGCTTATTAATTAAGGAATTCATTTTTTCATCTTTGCAATAGCTATTTGTCAATTTTGGTAACATTTTCAACAAGCAATTACAAAACAATTATTCAATTCCGGAAATAACAACTAAGTGCATCTCGCCTAATATCGTAAATCACTCCTCCCTTTATAGCAAGCATTAGAGTTCAGCCAATATCGCTAAAAATAATTTATAGAATAAACTTAAGTAAAATATTATAAATAAAGTTGCTATAATTACCTTATAGTAATTTTAGACTTTGGGGCCTTTAGCGAAGTTTTTCCGATTTGAGTTAAAGATATTCCGGTTTACAGTTAGAACAAGTGAATTGGRCGAAATTATCGAGAATACTATTATTCAAGAAAAATCTTGACAATTCTTTTTGTTTGGTTTGAGTAATGGCTCTTGTTYTTAACCKGTCTTTAACATTGTTCTATCTTTCTATTTTTAGCTGCTTGCAAGCATATTGATCTTGACCACTTTTGGCGGGAATAATAAACCCAAGCCCAGTCTCAACGCTACCAGCATGCAAGGCTTGGTTCCAACAAACATGAAACTTCAACCTTCGTTTAGAAAGAAGTTTCAGATTTACTGTCGTACGGGGTTTCGATTGGTTGTTCTTCCTGGTGGWCACGTGAAGGGTACAGCCAATAGCACAATAGCAAACAAATATGGTAAATTTATTATGAATTAGCATCTGTCTGTCTCTGTCTTTCCTTCTTTCCTTCTTTCCTCCTTTCCTTCCTTCCTTCCTTCCTTCGTTCCTTCCTTCTTTCCTTCCTTCCTTCTTTTCTTGGCTTAAATTTTCCCCATGAATAATGATCCCGCACCTTCGCTTCTGAAAGTTCGTCCCTCGAGAAATATTTCTGATTGTCAAAGTAAAAATTTTACTTTTTTTTCATCCCACCAGGACACTTTGAACTTCAATCTTTTGGAAGGAGTGTAATCCGAATGAAGAACATAGCGACACAGAAATATATAGGGATAGCCAAGACTGGAAAAGTATTTTCAACGGTATGTCCTCTACCACAGTAACCCAAAATTTGTCGTGAATAGTGACGGTATAATTTAAACAATCCCGAAAGTACATTTCTCATTTGATGCATAGCGTTGTTTTTGATGCATGATCTGATAGAATCATTTATGCAGGTTGAAACACCTATTCAGCTATTCATGGTCATATAGTTCATGGGATTTWAAAGCATTCACTGAAATTATTTGCMTTGAACTAAATGATACAAGCCCAGGTTGCCTGATATAAACCTGTAAAAAGAAACAAAGCTAGCGGTCATAATTTGCAGGATTGTTTCTCTATATTTCCAAAAAGCTTTCAATGCACAAACAACTTGAAAAATAAGAAAATTACTACTGAGTTATACAAAGCATCGTGGGTAACGTTTTCACGCATGATCTTTTCATTTTTTAATTATTCCCAAATACTTAATAAACTTTCGTTTCTTCCTCTTACGTCTTAGGATTTAGCAACAAACGAAACCTTACTGAAAGAACATCGAAGGAATAATTTATACAACTCTTATCATTCTTACATTTATAAAGACAAGAARAGCAGCAAACGCTTGTATCTTGCTGTAAAACGAAACGGCCAAATGAAGAATGCAAGAAAGGTTCTACCAAGACATAARTCTTTTCAATTTCTTACGATAGAAGAACCTAAGACACTGAGTTCCGTAAGGAAAATTCTTCAAAAGTTTGGAATTGAAAAATYATTTGAAACTCTCAATTCTACTCGACATGAGGAGAGTACGTAAATAAATTGAATTCAGTTCAAGACTGTTGATTTTTATACTTTTCACTTGAAGCCATATTTCTGTTAAAAGACATTGCCATAAAGCAGATAAAGGCAGATGAATGCTTTTTAGACCCCGTCCTCACGTATCCGGAAATTTTTGTATCCGCAAATATTTTTTTGCGGATACGGGTTGCGTCCACACGTGTCCGGAAATTTTTGTATCCGTATCCGGAAATTTTCGAAAACGGTCTCCAGAGTGGAAATTTTCGAATACGCTCCGAATACGGATACGTGTGGACGGTCGTATCCGCAAATTTTCGAATACGATGACGTAAACACGATTTTGCGCATGCTCAATAAGAAAAACTATCCGTCAAATGGACTAGGCACTAGCGTGCATCAGGGCGGATCATGAAATCTCCGATTCCGAAAACGATTCGAAAACGATTCCAATACGCTGCGTGTGGACACGAAAATTTGCGGATGCAAAAATTTCCGGATACGTGTGGACGGGGCCTTAGAAAACAAAGTACAAATGGAACCGTGTCGGTAAAACCGAAGAGCACAAAAGCAGGTTTTGAAAAACACGTAAAAGTAAGGAAAAAACAACTACAGGACTGAAAACCAGACTTAACGAATAGACTGAGCCAAGTTGAAAATAATTAAAATCGAAATCAATATATATTTTATATTAATGTGCATTATTGATATCTTTGGAATAATATATATACCTAATAATCTGAATTAATCAAACTGTTTGAAAAAAATAAAATAAAAAATAAAAGAATATATAGAACATCAATAAATTTTTTTGTTTTGATTATCGTGGCGCGCATCTCCAGTGAATTCGAACTGTCTCCATCACACAAGTTTCAGTTGCATAAAATCTACTTCTTTCAAACTTTTAGATATGTAACATCGCCTTATTACAGGGCGGCGCAGACGGGGGGGGTCCAAGAAGTTAGGAGGTTTTGGTAGATATATATTAATACACCTACAAATGTATGAAAACCACAGAATATAATGTCATTCGGAGGTTAAGGACAAAACTGGATCTAGTTCGTATACCAGTGCATTGTGGGGCTGTTTYAGAAGACAGATTTCTAAGATGGCGTCTATTTCGTTCTCAACCTCGAAATGGTTCCAGTTTGGCGCTGATAAGGAGGAACGCGGGCCCGGTGAGAAAGCAAATACTGAATGGCATATTCAACCAATCACGGTGATGCGATCTTTGTGGAGTCTTCTTCGGCACCAGGTGATAAAAAAATCAATAAATTCACATAATGTCAGACAGCTGCATCCAAGAAACAATCCGAGAAAACCACCGAAATCAGCTGAAATAAAATGATTATCAACAATRARCTAAAACAACAGSAACCAACCAACAGAATGACAGACARAATGACAGACAGAGACGTCAGACAGAGACAGGTTGAGACGACCGACTGACAGTCAAATGAATCAAAAGGAATAAAAGTGAATACAATTTGAATGCAACTGTGCTGACATTTCGGACGTTGACACGGTGTTTGATTTCCCTTCTTATTGCCTTCTATTCAATACACCAAATAACACAGTCCAAACTTGTAACCGATAACTGATCATTATCGATGAAGGGGACAGACAGACAGACAGACACAAAAATTTAAAAAAAAAAACTATAACTCACAGATCAGGTCGTCATAATCATAAACAAGAATCTCTTCCATTATTTTTTCTTCAGGACTTGAGTAGAAGATCTCAAGTTGAGTCAGCGAATCTTTATTCAGGCTTTAAAAGATACAAAGTGGAAACTGAGATTGAGTACAAACGCACGAATCACATGACAGCCAGCCTGGCACTCTAGGGTCACGTGATTACGTGCTTTCCGCCACAAGTAGGCAAGGGTTGCCCATTAATTATTAGTCATRTGGCCGTGGGTTAAATCCTTAGCCTTGCCATTATGTATGTGTAAGTAATAKAGTTGCTTCAGTGTTTGAAAGCCGGTCTTTCTCCGAGATCTACAGTTTGGATTCCTCCTTTCGCACTGAACCTTGACACATTACTCTTTCAATTTAAAGATTGAAACGATGGTCAAAAACAGTACTCCAAAGTACTAATAAGTTCTATTAAGTGGGTATATTTGCAAAYATTGACATACTTACCCATCAAATTTGGCCATCATCTTGTTTAACTGGCCCTTTTTTTTATTCTCTTCATAGGTGGTCCAGAAGTGGGGAGAAGGATACGTCGACACCATGGAATGTCCTCTGTACATTTCTCTGGTGCATGGTAAAGGACACTTGCATTCAAGRTTCCTAGATGCTTGGACTTCAGACCAAACGAAAGTGTGAGTAGAACGGCTTTTGTGTGAAAAAACGATATCATGCGGCAACTTTAGCTCGGTAATCAATGCCAACAMAATAGGAAGCCATTACAGTGTTAATAAAAGCGTGTCGTACCGCGAAGGTACKCTTGTCACTCATAAATATGCACCTAAAATAAATTAATCTAATTACGAAGTCAATGTAGGCAGAAAAGTACGTTTCTAACTCATAAATATACCTATGTATTTCWAAAAACATTGTCATCGCCAAAGACGATAGGCGATAGTTCATTCCAAGACGGAAATGGTTCTCGTCGACTACAAACGACATTGAATCAGCCTCAACACTAAGGTCCATGTTCTTGACTAGAATAAGAAGTCATTCCAGCTATTCTTGGATCTTGGAATGACCTATCTCCTATTGCTTTTCGCCTATTGCCTATTACATTTGGAAGATGACAACGTCTTATTGAAATAGGTGTATACATCAATGTACACAAAAGGAACTTACAAAATTTAAGCACACACGCTTGGTCTTTATCGTTCGCAAAGTTGCACGGTGGCAATCCTGAAAGTTCTTCTGCAATAGAAAAAAAATTGGATAACTGGAAGGTTAGATGCATGGATGGTTAAGTTGATGGACGGATAGATGGTTGGACGCATGGATGGACAGGTGGGTAGATGGATACATGGATGTTRACTGAATTAAGTCTGCTATTAATGGGTTGCAAGCATTCCCAAAAGAGTTAAAATACAAAAAACATGGCGGCCATTGTTGTACCGTTAACAGTGGATGCTAATGAAAAACCTTTTGTTAAATGGTACCAACATGGCCGCGATGACGTAACGTACAAACGAAGAATATCCCACCAGAACGATTGTATACTCACCAATTTCTGGCGCTGAAAATATTMTACATTCACATGCTTTCTTAAGTTTCACCATTTTACATTTCGTTAAGCAACTACTCTGAGAATAAACGTTGTTGGCAGACGATTGGCTCTTCTTCTCGTGACATTTTGGAAGCGGTAAACCAATAAACTAATAAAACCAGTAAAAAAGAAAAAGTTTAGYAATCCATCTGGTAGTTCATCAATGAATGCTTATTTAAAGTTGCTATAAATATTWACACAATTTTTATGACTCATAAAATAGGGCTGAACTACGCGTGAGCAATGCTCTAAATTGCCCAAGGCAACATATGGCCGTGGGGAAAATTTCGCATTTAAAACCCCATGGGTGAAAGCATAAATATTAGAAACCTCAAAACTTAGRAATTTGTTAATAAAATAGAACTTCTGCACTTTTTTATAGCTGATTTTGATAGYCTTTTTCCCGAAACCATAGGCATTTTGAATACCAAGGTAAGCAGGTGGTTCCGTGTTTTCACCGACTGTCGACTCATGCAAGATGTGTAGTCTTGGACTTCAACAGCCATACCTTTTCTTTYTTCATGGAGTAAGAAAGCTTGAATCCAGCAGATAATTCAAAACCGTTCATTTCTATGCCTGGGTAGTCGTCCTGATCATGGACGAGAACCTGAAAACCAGCTCCTCTATAGCTGAACATCCCGTAATACTCATCAACTTCAGCATCCAGTGTAAGAATTAAGCCATTTTCTAGACCAGGCCCTTGGGCGTATTGCAAAGGGTGACCTGGTTTTCCAGAGTTGAATGTGTAGCAAAGTCCTCTCTGTAACGATATGTAGTTAATATGAATAGCTATTCATCTCATTTTAGTTTATCTTGGCTAATAGGAGACGAGAGGAGAAGAGAGGGGAAGAGAGGAGAAGAGAGGAGAAGAGAGGAGACGAGAGGAGACGAGAGGAGACGAGAGGAGACGAGAGATCAAAGTAGACAAAAGGGTCCCATCTGACTAAAATACTTATCATGATACTTACGTGGAAGGAATAAAACACTGTGAAGTTTTTTTCAGTACATTTTTCAGATCCCCAAAAACAATTTATAATCATATCCTTCAACTCGTKCCCATTTTGACGGACTGCTTCTTGTATATCGAAAATCGAAGTAGWAAAACTTTGATTTGCATCTGGCGTTCGAAAAAAATCCATCTTATCCAAGTAAACTTGTGAATCAGTACTAATGATTTTACTCTTTTTCATCATGTTCATGTTGCAGAAAGATACTGCAGGAAATTTGATCACATTATCCTGTCGTACTGTCGTAGTGATTGTAGAATCTTTCTTGGAGACTTTTTCTATGCTAACATAAAACTGTCTCAATAAAGCTGCTASAGTTAACAAGATTGTTAAAGTCCACAAAACTCGACGGACTGGATGGTTTCCTCGCACAGCAAACTTTATACCATGAACTGTCGTGTAAGATGGAAAATTTTCTGCRTCAATCTTTATTTCTTCCACCATATTGAGGGGATATTTGGCGCGAAATATCAGCGGCTTTTTTCTGGTATTTGGATTCGGATAAATCTAGAAATGTATGGTGTGGACCACTGTTCAAAACATTTAAAAGCTACGGATGAACTTTCCGTGACAGCTTATGCAAAGATTAAGAAAAAATGAAATTCAGAGCTTGTGTTGTTTTATTTCAGAAAAAAACAAAGACAGAAATCCCCATGGTGACGAGTAAGGCAACTTTGTACTCTTCGCGTCAAGCTGTTTCMTTGTGTTAGCACATGTGAGTGCGATATGTACATCATGAAATAGACCGTGCAATCGGTTCATGTATGAACCAAAATAATAGATCTTGCTATAGATTTTCACATATACGAGTGAGAATTAAATGTGTGGGTTTTGATTTCGGGTCGTTAAATCATGACTAAAGAATCATTAAGTTCCCCAAAAAATGAAATTTAATTTAAGGCAATTCTCCCATTTCGAGTTCGCCTTTGCTCAGTTCTAGCCTCGATTGTGTACGAATTCTTTTCTTTCATTAAGGTCGATTGTATAGTAAGGAATGTACGTACTACGGAACAATACGAGTTGATTAAAATGCCACGGGTTTTAGTTGAATAGCTGAATATCATAGCGTACAACCGAGACTAAGGCTGAGGAAAGAGAACTCGAAACTGGAGTATTGATGATATTTCGATTGAAAAACTGGTTTTAGCAGCAAATGTTCTTTATTTTTGGTTTTTTTGTTTTTGGTTTGCCTTTGAATTTTGAATAAGTTATGATTTTCTTGCGTTGGGAATTGCATTTTTGATTAAAAATACGCTGCACCTACACAAGAGAATCGAGAAATATATGCATTCTAAGATGAGTTAACAATTAAAGAAAATAAGATAGTGGCAAAAAAGAATAAAATTTTGATCACGCAACTGAGAAGAAATAAAATAGAGAGAAAAAAAAGGTAAGGTAACTGGCCGGATAAGAGAAAAGAAAGAATAAAAGAAAAGGAAGTAAAAAACGACAAGAAAAAGTGGAAGGGTAATGTAAAAGAAAGAGGGAAAAAATGGGAAAAGGAAAATAAACATATTCTTCCTGTAGCTCATGTAATAATGAACATTGATATAGGAATATATAAATAATAACTGCTGTTAGCGCCGATAGCCTTTTTTATGGTGACTGGTGTCATATTTATTATATAATCAACACCAATAGSCAAAGTACATTCAGTAGCAAAGAAACTCTTCTCTGCATCAAGAATTCGAAAGCATCCATCTGTATATTAGTAAAAACATATAATTGTTTTAAAAGTTATAATCAAGCAAAATAAAAAACAAAAACATAGTATACAGAATAAAACACAATCACTACCCCCTTTTCCTATACCCGTGCCAAGGATATAATAAAAGTATAATACAATTAACCGAAGTTTAATTATTATCAATACACACATCATGTTACCTAGAAAACTACAGCTGTTCAGCAAATTGATTTTCTTTTATCTTTTTTTCTATACTTTGACTTATTGCTGCAAGTATTTCATTCCTTTTAACAAATCTTCTACCAATTGATATGAACTTTATTTTAGTTAGCTCTACAGTGCGCGGGCATGCAGTTAAAAAGAARGCCATGAAAAAAGATAGTTGTCCACCAAAGATGAAAATTATAGCCACTTCATGCACAAATAATGTTTTGAATTCTGAAGTAAATAATGAACTTGCAAGTTTGTTTACGATGATAAAATCCCTGTTGTGAGGCCTGGGCKTATTATATAATTATTATCTCCTGCCTATTTCATGTGGTATTCCCCAAGGTTCAACCTTAGGTCCAATGCTGTTTTYTATTTACATATAAACGATGTTAAACATGCTACAAAACTTCTACATTTCGACATGAACCAATYTGTTAGTCACGCTCTCTGATGATTGTAAACTGGATTGCCTGTCCTTTACATAGGCTGAAAGCTGGACAACTATGAATAGGYTCAGAACAGCGAAATGTTCCGACCGTTGGGTATTGTTGGGCAATTTTTTCATTTTGTCGAGAAATCAGAAAAATTAAACGTATATTTGCCACAGGCAACCCATTAAAAAGCCTTGGGAATACTTTATTCGTCCAGGATTGGCATGGCATAATAGCCAGCCACAGCTATTGAATACAACCCTGTAGTAAGCGGATTTATTCATTCATTTGCCAAGTTCTCCAGGTAGTTGTTTTAACATAAAATACCATCAGCTCTCCACTTTTATATAGGAGTAACTTTCAATAGCTGTGTTCCTGGAAAAAAACTTTGACCTTCATTTTTTGAKTGATTGAAAATACAAGGTCACTTTCGTGACCTCAGAGATCACTTTACGCGGGAGCCGGAGAGTATTATATACATTTTCTGAAAATGTATACTTTTTTTAAGTCCGTGCAAAATTGGAGGTAGCTAGCATCCTCTCCTGATCTCCTTCTGATACATTAAAGTGTGCTTTCTGCGGAGTGTTTAACAAAGCGAGTTTGTTTAATGGCTGAATGCGCGAATCATGTTAATCAATTTAGTAAACATTGCTAATGACGTCAGTAAAGATCGCCCTCCAAAACTAAGACATGTAAAATGGCATGACTTTTCKCGCGCTTTTACTGCAGTTACTTTTATTATATATACTTATATTTTGGACTCTAAAGCAGACCAAACCCTGATAGTTTTTGTTGYACGACCAAAATGGCTCGCAGGTCCGCCAAAGATTGTTCCCCACAAATCAATGTCTTTTCTAGTTCTTCGCACACAGCTCCTCTCCTCCGTTYTAGATATMCCGAGCTACAATTATTCTCACTTGRCGAATGAGAAAACTCGTCGGAGTTTTGAAAGATGGTATCTTTGTGATGATTCAGGCTCTCGGGTCTTTGCAGACTTTTCATTTGTTGTTCCTTRCGCGGAGCGATATTCAGTTGAGCCCGCGGCAATGTTTGTTCTTCTGAAGTACTCGTGCTCGACTCGAGGAGATGTTTGGCGCTCGAATCCGACTTGAACTCTTTTATGTTTCCACTCTCGTTTTTGTGGTTTATAGAGTACTTCTCACGTCTTTTGGCTGTTTGATGYTTCTTCCTCATTCTTCTTCCCAAGCCTTTCATTCGAACTAARGCCCTGAATGATATTCTCCTTTTAGAAGTGTCTTTCTCTTGCAACCTTGGCGGTTTATKGTGCATGATTTCRGCCGGGTTTGTTTCTTTTGACGCGYGTTCTTCGCGACACACGGCTATCGAACTCACCKTATCCTCTCGTGAAGACATAACAGCGTCATCGCTGTCGATTTTCCCTTCAAATGATAAAACACTGAAATCTTTTGCGTTCTTCTCTTTAAAAATCGTTCGCTGTGAGCCATTGTTTTCTTTGGTCTTTCCGTTGTCTTTAAATGAAGAGCATTGGTACTTCTGCGGTGAAGAGATATTTCCCAACATCATCTTTCTTTCCATATTCATATTACTATTAATTTTCAAAGCTTCATCTTCTTCTTCAACAGTAATTTCTGAGCTATAAATCTTCTCATTCAMTGAATTATTCCCAACAAATCCGCAAGATAAAATAAGTATTTCTTTCTCAGGGTTTTGCGCTCTGTCTTGCTTCAGATCTTGAAGTGAAGATGAAGTTTTGTTATCTCTCAGTAAAATCGAATCAAAATGCGCAATATCAATGCGCTCTGAAAACCGCCTTGTAGATTTGAAATCAAACTCCAATTTCGATAACTCGTGTGGAGGTCCTTCACTGTTTCTCATCTCAGATATACTATGGCTTCTTGTGTTTGAGGAGGCACTCTGAACTTTGTCAGATGACGACTTTTCAATTTCCCATCCATCTCCCATTTCAGAGAACCCAGATTCGCTTTCCGATATAACTTATTTTTGATCTATAGTTTCACTCAAACACTCAAAACTTTGGAAGTTGACGTACTTACTGCAAAAGAAATAAGAAGAAAAAACAACGGATTATTCTCAAAGAATACTAAGACCTCAGATAAATTATATTATTATAGTTCCACAAAGCCTAAGTAGTTCGATCTTTGTCTGTTTGTAATAGGATTGCGGCTGGAAAACACCGAAAAAATGGCCTAAATCCCTCAATCAAAGAAGTCATTTATAAATCCCTAAACGACCCGATCTACAACAAGTCTTTAAGGAAAACTGCAGCTCTATCCACGTCTATCCATTAAGTATTTCAATCGCGTGCTTTGTATCAGATATATTTTCATATTTTTGTGGAATCAATATAAGATATAATTAGTCTCCGAAATGCAAACATTTCAATAAGCGCCAACTTTCCTGCAAAACTGAGAGTAGATTTCTTGACGATTATTTTATAAAATTCCCTACGGCTACTTTRCTTTCCTAAGCGAGGAAATCTTCCAGTAATTGTGTAAATATTTTACGAAATAACATTTTAAACGTACGAAGTTTGTTTTTACATTCCTCGGAGTATGTCATTTAAGTACACGACTTTATGACGGTCAGCGATTCTAACATCAGTTTAAAAATATCCTGGTTTTGACTGAAAGTCAAGGAAGTTGAAGACCGTGTAGACGGAGATTTAATGTCTTTGAATCTTTGTACATTCTCATTGCAATTCTAACTTATCCTGCATGATMAGAATTGCCTAAGGAAAAACTACTATCTTAAGCACAGATTTGCAAATAGATTAATGTTTGTAGGATAATAACAAGACAAATTAAGCTATTCTATTGTGACTTTAACATATGAGTGCACTAATATTTGAGCACTAAGCCTCGCATTTAATATTACTTTATTTGGTCTAAATTTGGCAGAGTTAAAGTGTTTTTGAAACTTCAATTATTTGGTAGGGTAATTAGAAGATTTGGCCTCATAAAGAGTTCAAAAATAAGCATTTCAAAAACTTTACTTTCAGCTTAATTCAAAATTTAAACCATTTGGGTTTCKGTAAAGATAACTATGCTACTAAGCCTTCCTAGGTTAAAATTACTCTGGATCAGTATTGGTTGTTTTTCAAGGTACAAGAATACCTCGTTAATTCAACATTCAGATTTGCGCCGTTTTCAGTGTGAGCGGAATTTTTCCGCTTTKAAATCCCTTTCACCTGGTGTAGCTGGAAAAAACCTCGAAAATTTTCCACCTGTAGCCTGAAGCTATATGAATCTTAAATCGGGTTCTTGATTACGGGAACCAAAAATTAGTTTTTTAAAGCGTTCTCTCTAATAGTGTTAATGATCGATTAACAAAGATTCCACGGTTTTGAGCCACTCTCTCAACTCCTTTTTTAGTTTTTTCATCATTTGCTTACGATTTTTTCTCTAGCTTTTGGATCTTTTAAACAATCATGAGGTGGAGACGTTTTGGCAACTCTAGATGAAGGTTCAAGTCAAAATAGACAGATTACGATTCATGACCACGTTTTTATCGTTTTCCTGTACTTCACTTTACCTTTGGCAAACCTTCTCACCAAAGACAAATATTCTTTTGTTCATATTGATGGTTTTCAACCATTCGCAAGAGAATTAAATAACAAAAGACACGGCGGCCATGTTGGAGGATATAACAAAAGAATTCATTGACAATTCTTTTGTAAAGTTCCTCCAACATGGCCGCCGTGAAAACCATCAATATCTGCTACTTCGAAATTTTTGTGACCTTTTCACTAATTCTGAAGAATTTTTTAATGGTCAATGGTTTGCTGATAAGGGAGAATTATACTCTCTAATGACTAATCAGGCAAGAAACATTAAACGCATCCAAAACTATAAATTAATTGTTGGGAAAAAAAAACATTGCGAAAAAAATAAGTTATAAAATAAATTATATAGAGTTATACAATTTAGAATAYTTCAATGATTTTGATTGCTCTACGAATTGAATTTATTTGCGTTACCAAGTTATATGCCAGACTAGATAGGATTTGAAGGTTAAATGGTTAACGATGATATATATACCATACTATACTACTCAATAAGCCGMTAAGAAATTGACTCATCGCCCAATATCAATCGATAAGGCTTCTGTTCAGGTCTTGTTACCATTTGTCTGAAACACCGCCTTTTTTACTCAAATGGCGTCTGTGTTTTAGATTCCACTTCTGACACCATTATAGCTAACGTGCTAAAGTGGAAATAACACTGCATCACGKAATAGCCATCTTGACTGATACTAAAACATATGACAAACATCCGAATCGGTTCTCCTGTGACGTCACAGTCATCATGATTGGTTGAAATGAACAAATGATTTTTTCGTGGGTTCGCTATTGTTACATTTCAGAGCGCGCATTTCTTTTGTTAATTCGTTCTCTTATGACTGACTCCTATTTTGTTCCAAAGTTAATTTATATGGTTTCCATACTCGTAGGGTGTTTTGAAGAAAAAAAAAGATTTGTTTTTTTAATTTCACTTCTTAGTTATCAACCAAGATGGCGGCCATACTTCAGTTATATATTATTCAGTTTGTTTGAGAGTACTTTCAAACCATTTCCAAACCTTTGTTGTGGTTATAATGACATTTCCAATGAGTATAGAAAAAGTATTTTCTTGAATAATTAAGGAATATGTCTCTGTAGTCAGTACTGTGATATAAACACGCTGGGAGCTGTAGAGCACGAGCGAAGCAAGCTTTGCTATTTCCGACCATGGGTCATTATCAAGAGTGAGAAGAATCTATATTCTCAAGAGAATGACAAATGGTCTGAAATAGGAATCATTACGCTCAAGGTAAAGAAGTCTACTCGATAGTACTGGCTTTACGGTTAGGATCGGTTAAGGTTGACCATCTACAGACAATCAGACAAACACTGGCTCTCTCTTTTTTCACTGGTACCACAAGACATCACTCGGTCGAATAACCAMATAATCAGGTAATGATCGATTCTTAGCCGTTAAAGATCTTGGAGAGAAAGCGCGTCAAATTCGTTTTTGAAAATACCCGAGGGAAATCTTAATGATTTTCCGGAAGCTATGAGAATCTTCTGTAATCGAGGTTAGGATTCTTCGGCAAGATGTTACTATCGATTATTCTAACATTTTACGCTAGTTTTCTGTGTTAAACAAAGATTGTCCTTTGAGCTTCCTGTGGCCATTTGCTTGCGAGCGCGCCTCAGCAGTCACGTGGTCAAACATCACGTCACTAATACGTCGTAACGTATAGTTTGCTCTGCTTTGTTTGCCTGTTTATATTCCGGCTTTAGTTCCCTGTTGGCTCAAACTAAAGACATTAGTGCTGTTATACATGCACGTGATCAACACGTGACAGAACTAAGTATGCTAAAWCAGCCGCCATATTGGATAACGAACGTTTTTCTCTAGTTATTTGGATGCTTTCTTTTGCAAAAAAGGACTTTGATGATTTTTTCACATTCGTACAATACCGCTGTGTTGCTTGATTACAGATTCGTTTACTCAGGTTAACCCTCATTTCAGAGTCAGAATGTTCACGAATACCAACGGTAAAGTMAAAAATGCACAATTTCAACGATATAAACTCTGAACTTCCACGGACCTTCACTGGAACACGTAAATATTCTACACAAAATTGAGACTAAATAGAAAACCCTTGARTTGCGCAACTGCTGTTAACTCTTTTTATTACTAAGTATTTGATGCTAATATTAGTCATGCGATGTACTGTGCAACACAAAATAAAGATAATTTTTTAGAGTAAGCGTTTTGCGGAGATTAATATTTTGGCTGAGTGAGAAAGTCATTAAGCGTTTCAAAAGATGAGCATGTTCTAAAATATAGGGTTTGTAGAACCTGGAAACTACTTCAAGTTCTCTTCCTTACAAATCCGTGCTTCTCACTTCGTCAGTATCTATCACGTGACAAGCTTGTACTTTACATTGTAACCCCTGGCACCTGCCCTGGACAAAACAACCTTTAAAAACTCGCATTTTCGCTTTTTTTTTTTTTCCTTTCCTCTTTTAATATTTTATTCTTACTTTCACTATTTACTTTTATCTTAATTTTTCAATTTTTTGTTTSTTGCATGTTGCCAGATCTAAGCAGAGAAGAAAGGATAAGCAAACAAAAGGTACGAAAACCAAATCGAGGGAGTGGTCTTTGGTAACATCGTAGGCTCACTTAGTTTAAAATATACTCCAAAATTAGCTACAAAAGTGCAGACGATCAGCTCTTTTCTTTTAGAATAATGAAGAATATTTAACTCTATTGAACAATTCTTATTGTAGAACGTTTCTAACGTTTGTACCATGTAAGGACAAAGCACTTATCAAAACTACACTGGTTGAGGCCTTAGTTTCAATGGGCCTTATTCACGCGGCAGCCATGTTGGATTGARCAATAGATTCCACCACGCGTAGCCTCAAATTCAAGCGCTTGAGAATTAATTTATGCTGGGGAAACAAAGGYTTTTATTCTCATGTGATAAAGGTCCATTCGGTTTTTTTTTTTGTTTTTTTCTTTTTTTGTTTTTTATTTACAGGATTTCGAAAATATTATTTTTAATTCAAAGATGGCTGTCAAGTCAGCCAATAAAAAACTGACTGRAGCAAGAAAAGGTGATCATGAAAGATAAAATTTAAAAACATTATAATGTCATTTMTGGCTCTTTTTATGTCTTTATCCCTGACAAACAATATTAACCTGAAAATAATATGTTTACAGCTGAAAACAAGTTCACTGGAAAACGATATTAAAATGTAAGAAAAATTAAGAAAATTAAGATTCGCGTTTTTATTGGTGCTGTTTTGACCAGTCTTAAAAGGAGTTAAGCTTATTAACTATGCTGTTAAGAAGAGATAACTAGCTAAAAACTAGTGTGAGBTGCGTCGGTGTTTCTAATGAATCAGTAATGATAAAAGGGTAAATTTTACACCGTGAAAAGATGAAAAAACTCAGAGAAAATGTCAGCCAATCAGAATCAAGAAAATTTGCAAGAACTGGGTTGTCACTTTTCCTCATGAAATCACTGATTTCCAGG